CATCTCCTTCTTCTGCTCGCTCATCTCCATCTGCTCGTCCATCTCCTTCTGCTGCCGCACGGACACGCTGTCCTGAATAGGAGGTAAAATCTAGCGAGACACGCGCTCCTCAAGGTGCGACGCATGCATGCAACACACCAAGCACAGCGCCAGTTCTTGCCGCATCTCAATGAGCTCATCCAGCTCCTCCCGCAACTGCAGGAGCTGCTCCAAGTCCATGAGCTGCTGCAAGAGCTCCAGATCAGTCTGCATGTCCTTTGTCTGCTCACCTCCTTGAGAAACCCATGTGAACATTCACACTTGTCCATGCATGCATGCATGCTGCCACCCGGTCCTGCCGGGGTTGATGGGGCTGACACTTTCTCACCACTCATGCATGGGCTGTCACCTGCCATGACCCCTTGCTTTCAACACGCCATGTGTTCCTGATGCACCTTCGCAGGCTCGTCGAGGAGGCGGTGTTGCAGCCTCAGCACCTGGGCAAAGCAAACATGGGCAGGCTGAAAGATGTGGACGCAAGCACGCGACTGTGCTCTGACCCAGGCTTGGTTTCCTCGCCTTCAAACTCTCGCTTGTGCAACATGCCCACGAATGCATTCCATGCACGCCATCAGCTGATCACACACTCATGCATGTTTTTCCTGCATGCATGCATGCATGCATGCATGTTGACACACATGACAAGCATTGCACTCATTAGTTGTTTAGCCTTGCATGCATGAGTGAATGGCACGCATGCATGAACAGGCATGCATGCATGACTGGAAATGCATGCATGAACAACATTCATGACATGTCATGCAGAATGGCAAACGTGCATGTGTCATGAAACTGGCATGCGTGCGTGAATGCAGTGGGCTGAGTCCACATGCGCCACCATGCCTGTGCCAGGCGGCGATGGCAGCGATGTTGCAGCCTCATCACCTGGCCAAGGCATGTGGCTGTCAGTAGCCTAAGGCGCGTGAGATGAGTTCAAGGCTTGGGGCCAGCTCAGGCACTGCGTGCCCCTCCAACAGATCTGCATCACCTGCCAACTATACAACAAACATGCATGCGCAGGTGTGCTCGCCCTCACGTTGTCAAGAAGCCAGGCCTGCAGTGCTCTCTTCGTCCTGGGCAAGGGGCGCTGTGTGTGTGTGTGTGCATTGCTTCAAACATGCATATGCACGGCTAGGTGCCGAATCCCCAGAGGACTCAAGTTCGCTACTGCTTCCTTCATCACGGTCACCTGCACTTATACATGCTACAGGGTCCGGCATGCTTCAGGCCAGGCCTGAAAGGGGCACATCGGCCAAGCCATAGATCCTGCGAATCTCGACGATGCGTGGACGATGCGGCCGCCTGCTGGCAAAAGTGCATGCATGAGCAGGCATGCATGCATGCGTGCATGCATGCATGCATGCATATATACATGCGTGACATACGTGACATGCGCGATCCATGTTGCCATGCCGAGGCACTTGGCCACCCTGCTGAACAAGCTGATGAGCCGCTTCAGCAGTCTCGCATGCATTTGCACCCTGATGCCTGCAGGTTGGAACGACGAGCCCACTCCATCGCACGCACACACATACATGCAACACACATCGAGATTCCAAGGTCGTGCGTGCACACATCAACAAGTGCATGCTACATCATGCAACTAAGAAACTCCACGCAGAGGCAACATCATCATGCATGAGCATGAAACACCAACACAAGCTACGCGAGCACACATGCTTACACCGAGCTGCTGCACACCCGCTCTGTGCGAGGCAACGCCATGGAGAAGAACTGAAACACCGCGCTGTTGAGCACGCTGGTTGCCGGCCGCATGCCCAAATGCTTGATTGCCAGCCCGACCTGATAGTAGTTGTCCCGTAGCAAACCTAGAGCAAAGGTGCAAAAAAGGTAACGCGGCATCACACTAGCTAGCTTGTCTTTTCCACATGCAACTGCCACACTACAAGGCTTGCGCTAAACATACATGCCAGATCATGCAGTCTGACACATATTGAGAAAGACAAGCAACCACGGTTAACCCTACACCTCTGCGGAAGGCGAAGAAGCGCATGCCGGCATCCCAGCAGTTTCACCTCCTCAATCTGCACCCATGATGCAGCGAGGGAAGCAGCCTGTTCCAGCATGGCCATGGCCAATGCACACACGCACAGCTTCAAGTGTCACACTCTTAAGGAGCCAGCAGCCGCAGCCAACAAACACATGTACAGACTCACATCACACCACACGCGCAAGCAGAGTGCCACATGCATGACCATGCGTGCGTGACCATACATGAGTGCAAATGCGTGGCTGCAACCAAGCCCCTTTATACAAGACCTCGCGTGGGGGGGGGGGCGCAAGATCAACGACCCAGGCACCTGGCGCATAAGCAGCACATGCTCGCTAGCAGAAATCTGCCTGCCTTGATGCTCTGACCAAAGATTCTGCTGACGCCCTCGCGGGACACGTACCCAAGCCACTGCACTCCTAGAACAGCCCCAGGCCACAACAGCACACACTGCATGTTTGACACTGTCCTTGCTTGTCTGCCATGGCTTCACAGGCACTATGTACAAAATGAGCCCAAAAGCAGTGAGTCATGCCAGCCAGGCCCACATAAAAAAAAGTGCTCGGGAAAAACGCTCGATTAAAAAAACGCTCGTTTGGTGGCATGAAAACTGAAAGAGTACCACATGTTTTTTTTATATACGAAACCTGGGGTGGTACACATTTTTCTGGCCCAAAGGTAGCTCCAGATTGTCATCGGTTGCAGCAGCTCTTGGTGCAGGTTCACGAGCGGAGGACACCTGTGGGCGGTTTCGCATTGGTAGGCCATGCGAGTCCAACGATCTGGCTTGCTTCTGGAATCACCATCCAACACTTGCCCGACACATAGTGGATGACGTCAGGACGTTCACGGGAATCCAGGGCCTCAATGCAGGCTTGCTCTCCTCCCGACCGAATCGGCTGACAGGTACCGACAGCGCGTCCAAACAGCAGCAATTGGGCCATGTTGAAAGACATACTCCAGTTCTGGCTCATCGCGCGGGCAATTTCTTCAGCATCATAGTCGGCGTGTCCAGTGATCTTCCAGCCTTGGGCGTAAAAGGCTGGGCACTCCGAGGAGTGCTGCCGGGAAGGATGGATCTGTCGGCTTCGCAGGATGCCTCTAGTGCCGCCGACACTGGATGCGTGAGTCCATAGCAGCATGGGTCGCGTCTTCGTTGGTTCTTTGAGCCGAACTGTAGCGCCAAGGTAGGGGATGGTCAGCATGAACCAGTGTGGAGTGATCTTATAAAAGTGATGTTCCGGATTGACCTTTGCATGGTTCAGGGTGGAGTGCTGAGACGGTATGCCGGCTGCATTCAAGGTAGCGGCCACATAGTCCATCTGCTCCTGATTGACCTGGATCCCGTCGCTGACGTACGGCGCGGCGAGCACCTGAAGTTCGTTCCTCCACGGGTCGGACTCCGGGTTGGGAAGCAAGATCAGCGGTGGGTGCGCCTGCGGATTTGGGCGCAATTGCATGCTCCTCGAGGATGACTCCGCATCTGGATAAGCGCCTGTGGCCTTTGAGGCTGGAGCCGATGGGGCGCTGCTTCTGCTGCGCGGAAGTGGGGATCGGTTGCTTCTCGGTCGCCGGGATGAAGCTTTAATTGCAGTAGGCGCTCGAGATGAGGACTTGGCTGCTGTAGGTGCCGACACGGCGAGAGCCGGTGCTGCCGTGGTTGAATTATCCGATGTTGCGTCCCTTCGGGAGATCGGTGGTGGCGTCCTGGAGCGAGCTCGACCTCGACGCTGTCAAAGACTGACTTGGAGTAGGGGGATGTGTTGTGGGAACGTGACCGTTCTCCCTCCGTTGTGTGGCGTGATCTTGCTGGTGGGTTGGCCGGTGGTAGCATCTGACCTGATGGAGTTGCCGTAGGGATCGGTGCGATAGGGGTCGGTGCTGTGGTCTGTGATGGGCATGCTGTAGTTGAAGCCGTTGGGGTAGTCGGCGTCATTGGAGTCAATGGCTGGGCGCGCTTTCACCAGGATTTGCGGCAGTGGGCCAGCTACTGATGCAGGCCAGACAGGCAAGGTAGGGATCGATGCCGAGGCGTCACTGGGAGCAAGCGCTGGAACCGAAGGTTTGGTAGCCCTTGGGGTGCTGGACACCGCGCCAGAGATGCTAGAGGTTGGTGTCACAAGTACACTCCTGCTCGGTGATGCTGTCTGGTTCACTGGTGATCTAGGTGGTGTAGGGCCCGCAGTGTTCCTGGATGCCTTGGTCATAGGGCCTGCTGAGTTCGACATCGGGCCTGCGTTGGGCCGTGGCATCTGCTGCCTGCAATTGCGAGCCAATAACCAACTGGCGGCGTCATGGATTCATGCCTGATGTGTCGGGTAGTCTGGCAGTAGGTCAACCGAGAAAGTCAAACGTGACATAATCTGGGGTGCTGAAACGTCTGGAACATGTCCAAGCCTGTGGTGAATGGTCAACGGCGAAAGGTCAACAGGGGAATTTCCAGGGTCACGAGCGACAAGGTCCGGCGGTTGTCTGAAGAAGGCGTCGGTACATGGGTCATAACAGGTGCCCGCAAAGGGGATCAAGACACTGACCGAAGCCCGGACGCAGTGCCTAAACACACTTGATATGAGACGGCGAAACTGACAATGCGCATCCCCATGCAGACACAGGCTGTTTGAAGGTCTCCGGCAGGGCAATGGAGTTTCGGCACCGAGGAAGTCTAGACATCTTTCGCTAACGCACTCTCCTCTTCCGGACCGCCAGCAGTGCGTTAGTTACTCCATGCTAGATCGTCCAAGGCGGTGGCGGCCGACTCCAATAAAGAAAGAAAGGCACAACCGCAGAACCCCTTAGGAACAGGGGGGCCACACACACACACACACCCACCCACCCACCCACCCACGCACGCACGCAAGCACGCACGCACGCACGCACGCACGCACGCACACACGCACACACGCACACACGCACACATGCAACGCGCTTCAGAACCTGCTGGGCAAGGGACAGATGGAGCATCTTCTGATGGTTGCCGCGATGCAATCGCGCTTCCACCTTCCACAGCACTCGTGCCATGTCGTACCACACAGTCAATCACAAAATACCGAGAGTCAAAAACAGTTCGCCACTCCTGCCAGGAATCCTGGAGGAGGCGGCGGCACCACCTCATTGCGCTGCGACCAGCGGCCGAATCGCACGCGCTGAGGCTGCTGCGGCTGGCGCCGCCAAGCGCATGCTTTGGGTGCTGATGCCCCGGTCCGGAGTCTGCCTAAAGCGGCAGGCGGGAAATGCACCCAAAACGCTGGCATGCTACTTGCTTGTGCCAAGCTCGTGGCATCGAACCCAGAGGTTGCAAAACCTTCATGGTTCGTGGCTTTGACCTTACGCAGCAATTGCAGCCAACGAGTGACAAGATCTAGACTAGACATAGGATTGGCACAATGGAACGGCAAAGGTCATCAGCACCTCCTTGCGTTCCACACGGCTCAAACTGCTTGCGCGCGTGTTTCGTGCGCCTACTGGGTGCGCGTGCATTTCTTGGGGTTTGGGCAAAGGGTATATGTTTTTGGACGTCCGGTCTGTTTTTTTGTCAAAAGCAGACAGCAAACTACAGACAATTCGCATATTTTGTGCACAGCGGTAATTTTGAAGCCACCTCAGCTCTGAGACGTCTTCATGCCAGTCTGCGCAAAACAAAGCACACCACATCATTTGTCCAAGTTTTGCGCATCATCAGTAAATGTTCGCCGTCGCTACTTCCAAAGCAACGCAAACAAGGATGCAAGAAGCGTCCACCATGGACATAGTATTGCGCTGTTCCAAATAGAGTCAAACCAGTTTGAGTTTGAACAGTCAAAGCTCAAGACACAAGAGGACGAGTCCAGCTGAAAGAACATGTGACAGGCTCAGTCCAGTTGCCGAAAAAAAAGAAGTCCGTGTAGTCCAAATATAAGTGAGCCCTGTTGTCGCGCCTTTTGTGTTTTCCCACGATCTAGCAATCCTTCCCAATCCTTTCTTGCTTTTGCCTACTGGCACTGTTTTGATACGTTCGAAAGCTTGTGAGAATTCCTCGGAGCGCTTTCGACATCAACTTCAAGCTCTTAAAGCCTAAAAAGTGTCTGAGTCGAAGTTCAAGAGCTCGTCACTCCAGAGTAAAGCTTGAACCCGGCTACGCCTGACAACCATTTTTAATCTGGGTTGAGAAGAACCGTTTCAAGATTTTGTACATAAGTTTGTGTAGTCTTGAATCCTGGGCCTAGGACCTGTGACAATCTAGAATCTAGACTAAATCTAGATCTATCTTGAATATCAGTAATCCAAGGCTCAAGATTTAAGATTCCATGCCAACTTGTCTGAGAGGGCTTAAATCTCAAATATTAAATCCTCCAATGTCAAGATTTGGATTTGAAGCCAGACTGGCCAAGGGTTCAAAATTGTGAGCAAAACACGGGTCGCCCAACATGCTCAAAGTCGCCCAAAATGCTAAAACGTATTTTATATACCCGGTCACTTTCCCCCCTTGAGGCAGGAGCCATGCAACAATGCCCGCATTTGTTGCGGCTTGCACCAGCCCCAAAACAAACATGTACATTGGTTCCGTCATAGGATAACTGATGGTATTTGCTCCCAAATGTTCAATGGCGCAACCCTGGGCATGTGTGCAGCAAACATCCTACTTGCTTCATTATCAAGCAAGTTCTGGCCTCCAAAATTGCTAGCGGGCTTCCCATGCAATGTCAAATAGGGTGAGATGCAACTGCAACCGGTGCTTTTTTAGGGGGATGTGGTGACGATGCTCATGTTCAAGCTCTATGAATCATGAGCAAGGGAACAGAGACTCGGTGACTGTTTGAGGGGACTGGAATACTGCGAAGTCCACCCTGCGCTGAAAAGAAACAAACAAGAATCATGGAAGAACAGCATCTGTCTGGAGCCCACGACTACGACTGTCTTCCCTTGTGTGCGTTGTCACCTGCGCGGGCCCTGGTTAAAATATTGGCTTCCGTCAAGGGTGGGCAAGTGCGGACTTACAAACCCTGGCTGGAGAGCTTCCAATGACGCTTGTGGAGGTGCTTGTGGATGGTCAGGGGGAGGGTGCTCTCAAACCGCAGTCCCACGCTGGTCGCTCACCGCCACCGCCACCGCCACCACCACCACCACCACCACCACCTGCCTTTAAATGTGACTCTTGACTTGGCTTCCTTTCCTTTGCCTTTCAAGCAATCTTTTGGAAAAGCTTTCAAGTTGATTCTCAAATTCGTTCCCCTGATTTACGTGGCCTTTGAACTTGCCTCTGGTCCCACAATTTTGGGACCTTCAGGCATTACAATCCATACCAGCCATCCAGATTTGCAGTTTTGCATGCCAACTGGCGTGTTATTGTTCAAAAAACGTGATTTGGCAGACTCGTTGGCTGTGGTTTGGACAGCCCAAAAACAGCTCAAGGTCACACATTGTCAAAGGAAGTTTAGAAGGAACTTCCGTGGTACGGAAACTAATTGAAGGATGGCGGAGGAATAGAAAAACTAGAGGACGACTGGCCCGAAAGCATTTTTCCACAGGTGCTCATCCAGCCGAGGAGACACCTTTTTACATCGCTGCGGCGAGCGTGTCTGCGCGCGGCGATGCTCAGTGTGTATGGTCACATGGGAGCTCCATCTCATCATCCTACTTTCCTCTCGAACTGCGCCGCGCGATTTCTCACTGGTCTGCGCAAGCTGCATTGTTCTAGGCTGCTGCGCGCAAGTTGCTCTCTGCTGCGCGCAAGTGCTCTGTGCAAGTTGCTCTGCGCAAGTGCTCTGAGCGAGTTGCTCTGCGCAAGTGCTCTGCGCCAGTTGCTCCGCGCAAGCGCTTTGCGCATGTGCTCTGCGAAAGTTGGTCTGTGCAAGTTGCTCTGCGCCTGCTCTGTGCAAGTTGCTCTGCGCAAGTGCTCTGAGCAAGTTGCTCTGCGCAAGGGCTCTGCGCCAGTTGCTCCGTGCAAGCGCTTTGCGCATGTGCTCTGTGCAAGTTGGTCTGTGCAAGTTGCTCTGCGCAAGTGCTTTGTGCAATTGCTCTGCGCAAGTTGCTCTGCGCAAGTTGCTCTGCGCAAGTGACTCTGCGCAAGTTGCTCTGCGCAAGTGCTGCCGGAGCTGCGGGGGTGTGCTCCGCGTACTACGTTTGTACTTAAAAGTTGCGATTCTCCAGCCGGAGCTGCGGGAGCACGCTCCGCACACTACGTCTGTACTTAAAAATTGCGATTTTCCACCCGGAGCTGCAGGAGCACGCTCCGCGTACTACGTTTGTACTTAAAAGTTGCGATTTTCAAGCCGGAGCTGCGAGGGTGTGCTCCGCGTACTACTTTTGTACTTAAAAGTTGCGATTTTCCAGCCTGAGCTGCGGGAGCACGCTCCGCACACTACGTCTGTACTTAAAAGTTTCGATTTTCCAGCCGGAGCTGCAGGAGCACGCTCCGCGTACTACGTTTGTACTTAAAAGCTGCGATTTTCAAGCCGGAGCTGCCGCGGACCAGGGGGGAATCGAACCCGCGACTGCGGGATTGCGAAAGCAGGCGCGCAAACCACGAGACAACTTCCAAAGGCCGTTTCGCGAGCAAGAATATTGCACGGCGCCACAGCGAGAGCGCTTCGACACGCACAATCTCCGCAGAGGGTTCGCCGAGACTAAGACAAATTCGCACGGCGCCACAGCGAGAGCGCTTCGACGCGCACGATCTCCGCAGAGGGTCGCGCGCATGCTAAAAATCGTAAAAAGTCCTCAGTTTTTGAGCCTCGACCACGCGAATCTCTGCAGAGGGTCGCGCGCGCATGCTAAAAATCGTAAAAAGTCCTCAGTTTTTGAACCTCAACCACGCGAATCTCCGCAGAGGGTCGCGCGGGCATGCTAAAAATCGTAAAAAGTCCTCAGTTTTTTGACCTCGACCACGCGAATCTCCGCAGAGGGTCGCGCGGGCATGCAAAAAATCGTAAAAAGTCCTCAGTTTTTTGACCTCGACCACGCGAATCTCCGCAGAGGGTCGCAATCCCGAGCGACGATCAAACTCCCGCCCCGGTGCCTTAGAAACCTAAACTAACTTACATAGCTGCTAACGCCGAAGCTCTAAGCTCTACCTAACCTTGGCTCTATGTAACTTGGCTCTATGTAACTTGGCTCTATGTAACTTGGCTCTATGTAACTTGGCTCTATGTAACTTGGCTCTATGTAACTTGGCTCTATGTACCTTGGCTCTATGTAACTTGGCTCTATGCAACTTGGCTCTATGTAACTTGGCTCTATGTAACTTGGCTCTATGTAACTTGGCTCTGTGTAACTTGGCTCTGTGTAACTTGGCTCTGTGTAACTTGGCTCTGTGTAACTTGGCTCTGTGTAACTTGGCTCTGTGTAACTTGGCTCTGTGTAACTTGGCTCTGTGTAACTTGGCTCTATGTAACTTGGCTCTATGTAACTTGGCTCTATGTCACTTGGCTCTATGTCACTTGGCTCTATGTCACTTGGCTCTATGTAACTTGGCTCTATGTAACTTGGCTCTATGTAACTTGGCTCTATGTAACTTGGCTCTATGTAACTTGGCTCTATGTAACTTGGCTCTATGTAACTTGGCTCTATGTAACTTGGCTCTATGTAACTTGGCTCTATGTCACTTGGCTCTATGTATCTTGGCTGTATGTAACTTGGCTCTATGTCACTTCACTTGGCTCTATGTAACTTGTCCAAGCTCCGCACGGAAGAACCCTTCGCGATGCTGTCGGGAATGCTCGGAATATATTAGACAGAGACTTGAAATATCTTAGAAAGTGCATATTTCGTGGCAGGGGAAGTATTCCAGCATCTTGTCTGCGAAAAGATAGAGAATGCGCAAAAACATGGCAGGGTGCAGGAAGTCGCTGCCAAAGATGTGCGAAAGGTAATTACCTCTGCCACGGACGGTCTCGGGACCGTCTCAGGACGGGGTCGGACGGGGGCCCATTGTAACAGCAACGCGGAGGTTTCGCAAGGCTAGAACTTCGTGGCAGGCGCAGCACTTTGGCCAGCCGAGGTACAGATTTCGTGGCGCGCGCAGCACTTTCGCAAGGCCAGGCACAGATTTGGTGGCAGGCGCAACACTTTCGCATGATCGAGTAAGATTTCGTGGCAGGCGCAGCACTTTCGCAAGGTCGGGTACAGATTTCGTGGCAGGCGCAGCACTTTCGCAAGGCTGGGCACAGGTTTCGTGGCAGGCGCAGTATTTCGTGATCGAAGTTACGATTCCACTCTTCCAGCTGCAGCTCCAAAATCGCAAAATTAAGTACAAAAGTAGTATTCGAAGTACACTTTTCCAGCTTCAGCTTGAAAATCGCAAAAGGATTTTCGCAAGGCTGGGTACAGATTTCGTGGCAGGCGCGATACTTTCGCAAGGTCAAGTAGGCGCAGCATTCTCGCAAGGCTGGGTACAGATTTCGTGGCAGGCGCAGCACTTTCGCAAGGCTGGGTACAGATTTCGTAGTGGCAGGCGCGATTCTTTCGCATGGTGAAGTAAGATTTCGTGGCAGGCGCAGCACTTTCGCAAGGCTGGGTACAGGTTTCGTGGCAGGCGCAGCACTTTCGCAAGGCTGGGTACAGATTTAGTGGCAGGCGCAGTATTTCATGATCGAAGTTACGATTCCACTCTTCCAGCTGCAGCTCCAAAATCGCAAAATTAAGTACAAAAGTAGTAATCGAAGTACACTTTTCCAGCTTCAGCTTGAAAATCGCAAAAGGATTTTCGCAAGGCTGGGTACAGATTTCGTAGCAGGCGCAGCACTTTCGCAAGGTCAGATACAGATTTTGTGGCAGGCGCAGCACTTTCGCAAGTCTGGGCACAGATTTCGTGGCAGGCACGATACTTTCGCAAGGTCAAGTACAGTATTTCGCGATCGAAGGTACAATTCCGCTCTTCCAGCTGCAGCTCCAAATTCGCAAGAACTTAGTACAAAAGTAGTATTCGAAGTACGCTTTTCCAGCTGCAGCTTGAAAATCGCAACAGCAGATTTTGTGGCAGGCGCGATACTTTCGCAAGGTCAGTACAGATGTCGTGGCAGGCGCAGCATTTCGTGATCGAAGGTCCGATTACACTCTTCCAGCTACAGCTCCAAGATTGCAAAAAACAAGTACCAAAGTGTTCGAAGTACACTTTTCCAGCTGCAGCTTGCAAAAGTCAAGTACAAAAGTAGTTTTCGAGCTAGATAGATAGCTAGATAACAAAGTGAATAGATGGATAACAAAGTATTCGGGTAGAGACATGGATAGACCAACGCAGATGTCGGTCGTGCTGAGCTCTTGCCGCGCATGTTGCTTTTTTTGGCTTGCATTCTTCTTTGACTTGAGCTGTCTACACCAAACACACTAACACTAGAGTCAACAGAGGTAACGAACAAAATGTTGTCGACAACTACAGACTGTTCTTGACAGGTATCGCGCAAGCCTAAGGCAACTTGTTCCAGTCACTGTCTGTTGCTTGTTCCTGCAGGACAGACACGCCAGAGCATAGACAACCACACGGGAGAGCTTGCAGAACAACACACTTTTTCTTAGCAAACGGTTCCGTTGCCGATTCAGGAGCGGAAAGCCATGGAAAGCGATCAGTTCGCAGGCCTCATAGCTCACTTAGCCGAGCACGAGCAAGAGCTGTGCGGCCTGCAGCGCGCAAGCTTGGAGTCGTTGCTAAAGACTGGGGAGGCAAGAGCTGGACGCTACAGTGTGCCCGAGAGGGCTGCCTTTTCTCGCCTTTTGAAGAGACGTGGGCATGCGCTTTCATGCCAGCAGCAAAAACAGCTTAAAGCTTGGGAGATGCGATTGTGCTTGTCCGTGAGTCAGCAGCAGTTTGACAAGCTTGTTGCCTTGCTCGAGCGCAAGTTCAAGGACTTGCTTTCTTTACAGAAAAATCGACTGCGTGAGATGTTCAATGTTCATGCGGCCAAGCATGACCCGGACATCCAGTTTGGTAAAAAAAATCATGGCACGCGCTCACCCCAACTTGAATCAGGCACAACTTGAGGTTCTTGCAGAGTGGGAGGCAATGCTGCGCCAGCCTTCTGAGGCAACTTGCCTGGTGTTTCAGCCGGCGATGCAGCGACAGTTTGACGAGTTTGTTGCCTTGCCCGAGCGCAAGTTCGAGGACTTGCTTGTTTTACAGAAAAACCGAGTGCGTGAGATGTTCAATGTTCATGCGGCCAAGCATGACCTTGACATGAAGTTTGTTCAAAATTTCATGGCACGCGTTCACCCCAACTTGAGTCAGGCACAACTTGAGGTTCTTGAAGAATCCATTCAGAATGGGAGAGACGATTGTGCAGCCGTAAAGCAGCTGTCAGCGCCGCGAAAGCGAAAGTGGAACGGTTTTGTCAAACTTTGCAGACACGCAGTGTGGAACTGCGCTCTTTGGGCGAGGGGTCGTTGAAACATGTGTTTCGGAGTTCACGCAAAGACATGGAGCAGGACTTTCGGTTCAGCTATCTTTTCGTGCGCAAAGAGCTGGATCAGCTCACGCAGCAGCGGCGTCTGCAAGTCGATGCAGCGGCACGCGGTGTGACCTCCGTGGAAGGCAAGCTGCAAGCAAAGGGTCTCGCCCAGCCCAAGCTGCGCGAGGCTGAATGACTTGCCGCGCCCGCGGCTGCCGAAGAGTTTGCGCCAGCTGTATGGCAACAGCGCTGACGCTGAAACACTGTGCACTTTTCGCACCGTGTGCAACAAGTGGACGCTTTTTTGCAGGAGCAAGAGTTTGCATCGTGTCACAACTGCAAGGAAGGCTGGTTCGGCACCGCGCGCACAAAGGAGGAAATGCCTGGCGGGGTGGAATGCGCAACGTTCAAGAAGACAAACTTTTTGCTTGCCCCGCAGAGGCAGTGGCTAGAGCCTGGACGCGCTATTTGCAAGAACTGCTTGGCCGAGGCCCAAGCTCGCGAGAAGCAGGGTCTGCCCAAGTGCCCATTTCGCTTCGCAGCAGTTCGCGGACCCAGGTCAGGCTACGCCCGAAACAGATGCTTTGACTTTCTTCGAAGAGGAACTTCTGTCGCCAGTTCAGCACATAGCGCGCATTTTCACGCTGCTTGCAACTGGCCAAACAGAGCTTCGTGGACATGTTGGCAACCTTTTTCAGAATGGGCCCCGTACGTGCCGCCCAAAAGATCCCCCCCGAAGGCGGTGTATGCCGTTTTTGGCTTCTCGCCAACGACTTGAGCGGGCGCTGGACCGCATTGCTCGTCCAGCAACAGAAGGCGGCTCCTTGGCGTTTCAGCCGAGTCACGCCTGCCGGCTACGTCGACGCAGTGAAGAATAAGGCGCGGAGCCTAGTGGCTTGCAGGTGACAGTAGCAGAGCAAGAACAACTCATTTCGATAAGTTACGCATTGTTCGCTGTGTGGATGTGCACCTCAGCAAAACTAGCGCTGGCATTTGCAGCACGCTTTGCGCCAGCTAGAGATCTTTCAGTGGCAGATGTGATTCTTGACGAGCTCACTGCAGTTCAGGCTAGCATCCTATTTTTTGGGAATGGCTGCAGCATTTATTGCTGCGCGCAGACGGCCGTTCTCAGGCCCGCCCGCGGTTTTATTGTTTTTGCGCTAAACACCGCGCTGCGGAACAAGGCCTTGCGGGCTCGCAGTTACTTCGTCAAGCGGCAGGTGGCGCAAACGCCAATGTTCCACACACGAACGATGAGCTTTTCCGAAAGGTTGTAACTGCCTTTGAACACGCCATACCGTGTTCAGGAACAAAGCTCGCACGAGTCGGCTTTGTGCGACTTGCACAAGCGCGTGTAGATGCTGTAGACCAAAGTGCTAGTTCAAGTTTTGGAGTTGGCGATCTGAAGCAATGCTTGTGCGAGTAGCTCCTACAACATCCCGTGGCAGCAGGCGCAGAAATGCCAAGCTTGCGCAGTGCTAATTTAGCTTCCACTGGAAAAGCTTCCTACGCCTGCTGCAGGCGGCGTACCTAGCACTGCTGTGGACAATGCAGCAGCAGGCAGTGCAGAGTCAGGTAGTGCACGTAGTGCCAAAGGCAGTGTTTTTTGCGAGTCCACTTCCGTGGGCAATGCAAGCTTGGAGGTGAAATTCCCTGCCATGTCACAATGTTGACAACTGCCATATCACTGGCAAGATTTGCAGGCTTGTTTGCAAAAGTTTTGAGGACAGCGACTTTTTGTTGGGGGCGGGGAACCTTATGCGAAGGCGCATTTCCTTTGTTTCTTTACCGGCAAGCTCATCGGCCACAAGTTCAACTCAGCGCTGACTTGGGGGCGCTTGAAGAGAAATACGGGCTTGTCTACTACCAACAGTGCCGTTTCCTTTGGCTTTCCTGCCAAGAACAATCCCCACGCATATATACAGGCGTTTACCACGCGGGACACCAGAGGTTCATTTGTGGGCATATTTACTTGCTCGTTCTCAAGGATTGTTTATACTAGCAGAAGTATGAGTTTGTCTTTTCTCAATACCTTTCCCATTTTATGTTTTCCCTTCAAGACGAACAGGCACGGCGAAACATTCGCTTGACAGGGGCTTGCGGCGAAACATGACATGGACTTCTCTTTTGCAAAGCAACGTGGACCCCCCACCAAAAAGAACAAAAAAGCGACCGTGGAATTTTATGATCGGAAGTCACTTACGCTGGCATTGGGGCATTCCATTTGTCTCGAACGCAGTGGCTTTGTCACTTGAGCACAGCTACAGTAACTCTCACACATCAGCACACACACACACTCCCATAAATACATGAGCAACACCAGCACACAGCGCACGAGTAGGTTTGAAAGATCGAGTCGAGCTGAGCTTGGCATTTCAGCCGGCTTAGCGGTGCTTGGCTTCGCGTTTCAGCCGGCCCGGCGGGCGAGCCATGGCCGCCGCGCGCTTTTGGGAGTTTCTTGCGCCGCGCACGCAAGCAGTGAGAACTCAGAAGCGAGCATCAGATGCGAGCAGCTGCAGCATTTGCCTGAAAAGAAGTGCGGCTGGGAGGTTCTGGGAAAGAATGTTTTGGCATGGCATGTTCAAGGAGCAAGGCATCCCCACTGAAACCAGCACCAGGCTCTACTCGTACGGTGAACATTTGTTGATTTCTCTGGGGCTCGACTCGGTGACTGCCTGCTCACCTATGAGCCAGTATCAAAATTCAAGGTTTCGGGAGTTGGAAGTTGGGATGTTCTAAGGAAGCAAGCAAGGCAGGGCAGGAAAGCACAACAGCAGCAAAACCGAAAGGAGCATCAAGAGGATATACTGCTCCTGGTCCATTCGAGGTAGAGCGCTGTCTTTGACATGACGCATCTGCTGCTGGATTTCCTTGCCGAGTCATTGCATCAAGAAGCTGCACTCGAAGAGAAAACGTGACTGCCTTCTGTGTTGCCATATCACAGCAGCTGGGTATCAACGGTTCCCTCTGGGCCCTTTCTTAGATGTCAATGGCAAGCGAACGTGTTGCAAGCATTCTGAGTGCCTCTTTGAGCTCGAAGTAGGTACCATCGAAGCTTAGCCTGAGTCAACATTATCCCTAAGCTTTGCGTGCCTGATTCTGCCACAGAATGCCAGGTGGATGCTTGTGCAGCCTGAGCCACGCGCTCCTCCAACGCCTTTGCAAAGCACCACGACAAGACCTGACAGATCATGTCTTTCTCCATGCAAAACAATTGATATAGCTCCATCCATCGCATCGTTTTAAGTTCCCTGCGCCGTGTTGCTTGATAGTCGGCTCCTGACCATCCACTCCTGGTAAAGTCATCTGCCTAGCGCAGCGTCGTCCCTTCTACCAATCGTGCAACAGGCCAGCAAACTTCATGTGGGGCCTTGGCTTGTGGGGGCCTTCTGCCCTCCAGAAAAAAACTTGAAGCCACGGGAAAACACAGGAAAAACACAAAAAAAACACCCAGATCCCAAACCTGCCCAAAGTCGACGCTGGCTCAGCGCGTCTGATGACTGCAACATCTAAACATCCGAACGTAAGCTGAGCGCCCACAAGCTCCCACATGCACACTTGTGGAGAACGCACGCAACACTTCCACCCACAAGCGCCCACGTGCGCCCACAACACCCATTAAACACTGCCGCCCAACAAGCGCCCACATGCGCATGAAGGCGACCCCCAAAAACGCCGCCCAGAAACAACCGCAAGTGCCAGTACCCGCACCGCCGACTGAAAGTGTCCATGACAGCTAAAAGCGTCCACGCAAGGGCGCAAACCACATGCGCCCTCATACACCCATGACTGGAGCGCCCGCAACGCTACCGCCCACACCGCCAAGACTTCCGCCCGCATGCGTTCATGACCGCAGCACAACACTTCATCAAGAAAGCACCTGCGCCCACAAGCGCCCACAAGCACTCATCACATCCGCCCACAAGCGCCCACATGCACTCATCACATCCGCCCACAAGCGCCCGCAGCACTTCCGCCCACAAGCAAGCGCCCACATGCGCCCACATGGAAGCAAACCAAGAGAGAGCCCGCATGTGCCCACTAGCACCCACAAGCCCACGAAAAGCGCGCCGCCCGCAACACCACCCGCCAAGCCAAGAGCTACAAGCCCACCCCCGCAACCCCGCCCACAAACAGAGCACCCACGAGCCCCCCAAAAACCGGCGCCCACAAGCGCCCACAAGCGCCCACAATGCCCACAAACCCAGCAAGAGCAACAAGGCAAAAGCGCCCACAAGCCCAGCAAGAGCCCACGAGCGCCCACAAGCCCAGCAAAAAGCAAAAGCGCCCACAAGCCCAGCAAGAGCGCCCACGAGCGCCCAAGCGCCCACAAGCCCAGCAAAAGCTCTTAGCAGCCCACAAGGGCGCCCACAAGCGCCAAGCAACCGGTTTGGATTAAGGGTAAGCAGGGCGTCTTTTACAAAATTGTGAATTTTGGATCAGACACATTTGCTTTGGGCCTAGGTTTGCGATCGTCCGGGTCTTGAAGCAGTTGACTCCTTTGAGGCATCTTCCACCAGCAAGAGCGCGCAAGCGCCCGCAAGCCCAGCAAAAGCGCTCACAAGCCCAGCGAAAGCGCCCACAACCCCAAGAGAGCGTACAAGCGCCCGCAAGCCCAGCAAAAGCGCCCCCAAGCCCAGCGAAAGCGCCCACAACCCCAAGAGAGCCAGCCCGCAAGCGCCCACAGCCCGGCAAAAGCGCCTACAAACACCCACCGCCACAAGCCCAGCAAAAGCGCCCACAAGAGCGCCCAAACAGCAAAAGCTCCCACAAGAACCAAGCCCAGCAACACGCCCACAAGCCCAGCAAAAGCGCCCAAGCCCCCCAAGATCGCAAGCGCCAACAAGCGCCCAAGCCCAAGCAACAGCGCCAGCCGCCCACACACGCACACAAGCCCAGCAAAAGCGCCCACCAGCAAGAGCGCACAAGCGCCCAAGCACAGCAAAAGCGCCCGCAAGCCCAGCAAAAGCGCCCACAAGCCCAGCACAAGCGCCCACAAGCCCTACAAGCCCAGCAAAAGCGCGCACATGCCCAGCAAGCCCGCAAGCCCAGCAAAAAGCGCCCACAAGCCCACAAGAGCGCCAAGCCCAGCCGCCCACAAACCCAGCCCACAAGCCCAGCAAAAGCACAAGCGTTAATGCCCACAAGCCCAGCAAGCCCAAGCGCCGCGCCCGCCTGCTCACAGGAAGTGAGCCCACAACGGTGCAGCCTGTGGGCTTGTGTGCATCTTAAAGGGTGGGCGCTTGTGGGCACTTCTGGGTGATGGTGGGTTGCAACCCGAAAAGGGCCCGGCAGAAACAACGGGAAAAAACGAGCGGAACAACGCAAGTGCATGTGGGCGCATGTCGGCGCATGTGGGCGCCACAAACCCACAAGCAAAAGCGCCCACAAGCGCCCACAAGCACCCACAAGCACAAGAAACCCACAAGCCTAGAAGAGCGCCAAGCCCAGCAAAAGTGCCAACAAGCCAAAAGCGCCCACAAGCCCAGCAACGCAAAAGCGCCCAAGAGCGCACAAGCGCCAACAAGCGCCAACATGCGCCAACAAGCGCCCACAAGCCAGCAAAAGCGCCCACAAGCCAGCCCCACAAAAAGCCCAGCAAGAGCAGCCCAGCAAAAGCGCCCACCCACAAGTGCTGAGCCACAAGCCCAGCAAAAAGCACTTAGAAGCCCAGCAAGGGCGCCCACAAGCGCCCGCAAGCCCAAGCAACAGCGCCAACAAGTGCCCACAAGCCCAGCAAGCCCGCGCCCACCCACAACCGCCCGCACACGCCCACAATCCCAGCAAAACCGCCTACCAGAAAGCCCAGCAAAAGCGCCCACAAGCCCAAGAAAGCCCACAAGCGCCCACAAGCCCAGCAAAGGCCCACAAGCCCAACAAGAGCGCCCACAAGCGCCCGTAAGCAAAAGCGCTTCGCCAAAAGCGCCTACAAGCCCAGCAAAAGCGCGCGCAAGCCCAGCAAGCCCCTACAGGCTCAGCAAAAGCCCACATAGCAAAAGCGCTTACAAGCGCCCACAAGCCCAGCAAAAGCCCAAGCGCCCACAAAATCGCAAGCGCCCACAAGCGCCCAGCACAACCCGGCAAAAGCGCCCACAAGCACCCACAAGCCAGGAAAAGCGCCCACAAGCCCGCAAGATCGCCAAGCCCAGCCGCCCACAAGCCCAGCCCACCACCGAAAAGTGCAGCAACAGTGCAGCAAAGGGTGCCACCTGCAGGTGCCCGCCTGCTCACACCAAGTGAGCCCACAACACAACGGTGGGCACTTCTGGGTGATTGTGGGAAAAGAAGGAAAAACGGGATCGAGCGGGAAAAAACGGGATCGAGCGGGAAAACACGGGAAAAAACGGGAACGAGCGGGAAAAAACGGGAACGAGCGGGACAAAAGGGCGCATGTGGGCGCATGTGGGCGCATGTGGGCGCATGTGGGCGCATCAGGCGCCGGCAAAAGCGCCCACAAGCCACAAAAGCGCCCACAAGCCCAGAAAGAGCGCCATCCCAGCAAAACCGCCCACCAGCAAGAGCGCACAAGCGCCAACAAGCGCCAACAAGCGCCCACAAGCCAGCAAAAGCGCCCACAAGCCAGCCCCACAATCCCATCAACAGCGCCCGCAAAGCCCACCCACAAGTGCTGAGCCACAAGCCCAGCAAAAAGCACTTAGAAGCCCAGCAAGGGCGCCCACAAGCGCCCGCAAGCCCAAGCAACAGCGCCAACAAGCGCCCACAAGCCCAGCAAGCCCAGCAAGAGCGCCCACCCACAACCGCCCACACACGCCCACAATCCCAGCAAAACCGCCTACCAGAAAGCCCAGCAAAAGCGCCCACAAGCCCAAGAAAGCCCACAAGCGCCCACAAGCCCAGCAAAGGCCCACAAGCCCAACAAGAGCGCCCACAAGCGCCCGTAAGCAAAAGCGCTTCCAAGCCCAGCAAGCCCCCTACAGGCTCAGCAAAAGCCCACATAGCAAAAACGCTTACAAGCGCCCACAAGCCCAGCAAAAGCCCAAGCGCGAGCGGGAAAAAACGGGATCGAGCGGGAAAAAACGGGGAAAAATGGGAAAAAACGGGAACGAGCGGGACAAAACGGGCTGACGCGAGCGCATATGGGCGCATGTGGGCGCATGTGGGCGCATGTGGGCGCATGTGGGCGCATGTGGGCGCATGTGGGCGCATCAGGCGCCGGCAAAAGCGCCCACAAGCCACAAAAGCGCCCACAAGCCCAGAAAGAGCGCCCACCCACAACCGCCCACACACGCCCGCAATCCCAGCAAAACCGCCCACCAGCAAGAGTGCACAAGCGCCCACAAGCCCAGCAAAAGCGCCCACAAACGCAGCAAATGCGCCCACAAGCCCAAGAGAGCCCACAAGCCCACCAAAAGCGCCCACAAGCGCCCATTAGCAAAATCCCTTAGCCAAAAGCGCTTACAAGCCCAGCAAAAGCGCGCACAAGCCCAGCAAGTCCCTATATACAGGCTCAGCAAAAGCGTGTTTGCTGGGCTTGTGGGCGCTTTTGCTGGGCTTGTGGGCGCTTTGTAAGACTTGGGCGCTTGCAGGCGCTTGGGATTTTGTGGGCGCGGAGCCCACAACAGTGCATAGCCTTGTGTGTGGGCGCTTGTGGGCACTTGGGCACTTGTGTGTCGAAAACGGCCCGGTGGGAAAATAACGGGGAGAAAAAAACGGGCTGACGCGAGTGCATGTGGGCGCATGTGGGCGCACGTGGGCGCATGTGGTCCCAGCAAAAGCGCCCACAAGCCCAGGCCAGCAAAAGCGCCCACCCACACGTGCTGAGCCCAGCAAAAGCGCCCACAGCCCAGCAGAAGCACTTGGAAGTCCAGCAAGGGCGCCCGCAAGCGCCCAAGCCCAAGCCGCAGCCACAAGAAGCGCCCACAAGCCCAACAAAAGCGCCCACAATCCCAGCAAGAGCGCACAACCACAAGCACTCAGAAGCACACAAACACTCACAAACACTCACAAACACTCACAGACACACACACACACACACACACTCACAAGCACTCACAAACACTCACAAACGCTCACAAACACTCACAATCGCTCACAAACACTCACAATCACTCACAAACACTTACAAACACTCACAAAAACACTCACAAACACTCACACAAACACTCACAATCACTCACAAACACTCACAATCACTCACAAACACTCACAAGCACGCACGCGCTAACTCGCTCACTCGCTCACTCGCTCACTTGCCCACTCGCTCTCTCACGCACTCACGCACCCACGCGCTCACGCAGTCTCTCACTCTCTAGATCTCACTCTCTCACTCTCTCACATTCTCTCTCTCTC